TATTATTATTATTATTATTATCTATTATCTATTTATTTATTATTGATTTTAATTATTTATTATAATATATTATATTATTATCTATTTATTTATTATTGATTTTAATTATTTATTATAATATATTATATTATTATATTATATTATATTATAATATATTTATATTTTTATAATATAATATAATATAATAATATAATATATTATAATAAATAATTAAAATCAATAATAAATAAATAGATAATAGATAATAATAATAATAATAATAATAATAATAATAATACAAAAAATTGAAAATAATATATATATATATATATATATATATATATATATATATATATATATATATATATATATATATATATATATATATATATATATATATTACAAAGTATATTATAGCCGTGTTGTGTACCGGTTAGCCGCAGTTCTAAATTGCGCCGTAAACATATCGCATCAATTAACCGCGTGGTTGCGTGTTTTGTTGGTCTTTTGTTGTTCTCCACTTGTTTATGCCTTAATGGATTATCAAAAGGACATCGTAGAGATTACGCCTAAGCAATATCGGCGCCGGCCGCGCAGGTTCGCCCTCAAGTTGGTGCCTATTCAGGGGACTCCCTGACTTTTCCGATAGAGGTGTCTTCAGACGAAGATGACGACTCTAAGGCTGTGAGGGATTGGTTGTTCTCTGATTCAAATGATGAGGACCTAATGCCTCGTCCGTTGAAGCAGATCTTGCCGGGCCGTGGACGCGAACATGCGTTTGGTAGGCGTACCTTAGTCATAGACGAAATGGTTTCGTAGTCTGTGAATAAAGAGGTTCATTTTGGATGGTGTCATTGTATGCTGAAGGACCCTAACATCGACGCGTTGTCCGTTCTGGGTCTCGGTCGTTAGCTCAGCCACAACCAAATGTATCGTTGCGCGTTGCCGGCTGTAATTGTCCGCCTTGCAAAGATTCGTCGTATCGTTAGTGCTCGGCGTACCTTAATTATATGTTGCGGAATGCGTGTTTTTCGGAAAACTTTGTATGCACAAAAACGTTACATTTTCGTTTTTGTTTTTTGTTTTTTTTTTCTAAACAAATTCGAATAAATTGGCCAATTTATTTATTGATTTACTGAAATATTGTTCCCTTTTTGGATGTTACCTTGTTTATTTAGGACTGTTGTTGTTAGATGTTTATGTTATGCTTTGATCTTTTTTGTGCTAAAAAATGGCTGTGTTTGCAGTTTTATTGAACAATGCAGGCGCAAGCAAAAGGTCGAAAGCGTTTTACTGCCAAGGAGGCAAATGAACGGAAGAGAGCTGGAACTGCAGCTGCATGGCAACGTCTGATTGCCGATCAATGCAATACTATTCCACCACCGGGTGTTGTTGGCGGAGTCTCAAATGGCCAAGCATCAACTTCTGTGTGTAATGCACATAACACAGGTGCACAATCATATTGCTTTTTTTGGGAAGTTATCTGCTTATTCTTTGATTCTTTTATGGTGCTATGACGGGTCTGTTTTCATTTTGCTTCTGATAAGCTTAATTTCTAGGCATTATTTAGAGTAATTTTAGTAAGTGATTTGCAAAAATAAATTTAGTTTTGAGGTTGATTTTATTATAGATATTACATTTATTTATATGTTACTAGTTTAGATTGGTTTTAATAAGTATTAGACTAATGTTGCATTTTTATTAATATAAATAGTATTTTATTTTAACTATAGTATTTTATTACTTGGTTATAATTATTATTATTTTAACTTAATTTTGTTTTGCTTTTTCTTGTAGGGATTTGCGCAGCAGGTAGAAAAGAAAAGAAAGAGTTTAAAAGGTTTTGGGGGCTTTTGTTTTTAAGCATGGGAGAGGAGTACGAAAGCATAACAGAAAAATAAAGAGGGGAGTACAAAAGCTTGGGAGTGGCGGCGACTTTGGCGAGGAGATTTCAGCGAGGAAGCGAAGGAATTCAAGACTCCATCGCAAGGAATTTTTGAGCTTCAATCGCAGCTATCATCTCTTAAGCTTGAATTATTTTTCTTCTTTACTTTATTTCTTGTTTAAAATTTCAGAATGATGTTTCCTTGAACTTTCCATACATTTAATTATGATTATTGGCTAGAATTTTAATTAGGGATTTTGATTAGCCTAAATTAGATTAATTGACTATTCTTTATGTGTTGATTCTTCTAATTTTAGTTAAATAATTGAACTTGATTATATTTATTTTATGTATTTTAATTGTGAATTGTGTGACTGGCCATTGCATAATTCTAATATCAAGGTTTATGAGAAGAACTGACAGGTGAATTATGAACCTAGAACTCGTAAGATATACACAATTGACCTAAACTAGACATAGCTTAGGGTATTTGTGGTGATATTTGATTGTTGCTTAATGAGTTCAATTAATGTCGGTGAGATATCAACGGATGATCACAGTTAATTGGATACAATCTAGTAGCTCAACGGAGTATTAGGATATATTTGAAGCAATCATCACTATAGTAATAAGAATCAATACTTAGCAGAGTTAGTTAATTATCTAATAGGTGAACCCCAAATCCCTAGTCTTCTCTCAATTGGAATTTTCTTTGCTTTTAATTCATAAATATTCTTTTTAATTACATTAATTCTATTTATTTGCGTTTTTCCATATCAACAGTACAATTTGATTATTTAAGATAACAGTTAATAGTGTTCTCGTGGGATCGACCCTGGAATACTACAGAAATTTATACTTTGATTGACTCTGTGCGCTTGCAGATTGAAAATAGACTCGGGTCGGTTTCACGCCTAAATGAAAACACTGTCAAGAAATTGGTTGAGCTCCTGGATTGCAATCCGTACGCAAGCTTTTTAGGAGCCTAAAGGATGTTGTCCATTTTGATGAGTTCAGTATTTGTTTGAACTCCTCACCTTCACATGATCAAAGAGTTTATAATAGCCCAACAGCTTCGCAGGTCGCAGATGTCTGGATTGAAGAATCTGATGACATTCGTGAGAATATGCATATTTGCGTATATGGTGTTGTAGCCGCAGTCAAAATATTCAATACTATTATGGTTGTTATGATCCGTTACAATATCCGCTTTATTTTCCCCTTGGTGATGTGGGATGACATGAGGGTATTCAAAAAATTCGACGGTCATCTCATGTGCAACCTGTTGGGTATACAAAGTCAGTGTCTATTGCTGCTGCTGATTTGACGACTGTCGATGAATTGATTAGGGTAGAGGATGCAGTCTTCCGTGAAGGGCGTAAGCGGCAGAGTGTGTCCTGCAGAGAATACTATGCTTATAAATTTTAAATACGGGAAGGAGACATATCTATGCTGCTCCATAGAGGCCGGCTATTCCAACAATTTATTGTTGACATTTACATTAAAGTTGAGACCCAATGGCTGGATTACTTCAGGCAGAAACAACAATTTTGTAGGGCTGATAACTATCAAGGCCTTGTGGACAGTGTCGGTGTTGGTGCTGGTTTTGGAAATGATGTTGGTCGAAAAGTTATTTTGCCATCTTCGTTCATTGGAGGCCCTAGGGATATGCGGAGTCGCTATATGGATGCAATGTGTCTTGTACAAAACTTTGTCGATGCGACATGCCGATGAAGCGCAAAACAGGCCTTACCTCATTGCACGGATTTTCCATGCTAAGTTGCAGGTGTTCAAGGATGAGTTGACCAAAAAATCTTTTTTTTTTTGGTGAGGTATCGGCATACACTTATGTTATTGAATTTCAAAAAAGAGGCCTGCCTCATGCTCACTTTCTTCTTATTCTGAAGAACAAATCTCTTGTTGTTTCGCCATCTTTTGTCGATGCTTTTATGTCTACAGAAATACTTGATCCACAAATTCAGCCTCGACTGTATGAACTTGTTAAAAAACATATGGCCCATGGCCCTTGTGGTGTCCTAAATCCTGCTTGCCCTTGTTTGGTTAAGAAGAGATTACAACCTGTTGCTTCTTGCAAGAGTAAATACTCGCGGGCATTTTCTTGTCAGACTTTATTTGCTGATGATTCTTATCCTGTTTATTGGAGACGTAAAACAACATTTACTGTTCGGGTTAGGGGGACCAAACTTAATAATAAATGGATTGTCCCTTATAATCCGCAGCTATTGCTTATGTTTGACTACCACATTAACGTTAACGTTGAGGTCTGTGCAAGTATTAAGACTGTCAAGTATATTTACAAATATATTTATAAAGGACATGATAGGGTAAGCATGTCTCTGCGACATAATAATGAAACTAAGATTATTGATGAAATAAAAGAGTATCAAAATGCAAGGTGGATATCTCCTCCCAAGGCTGGCTGGGGTATATTTGGTTTCGCAATTGCTGAGATGAAACCGCCTGTTATACAATTGCAGGTTCATTTAGAAAATTCTTAGTATATTAATTTCTATGGCCATGAGAGGATCACCTATATACTAAGTAGGGAAGAATCATGTCGTACAATGTTAATTGAATTCTTTTCGATGAACTTGACAAATGAGTATGCAAAGCTACTTAATTTGCCGTATGTAGAATTTTCATGTCATTTTGTGTGGTGTAAATCGACTAGGTCATGGAAACTGCGTAAACAACTTAAAGTTGTTGGTCGCCTTGTGTTTGTTACACCAACATAAGGAAAACGCTATTATCTACGCTTGTTATTGCTTAATGTAAGGGCGCCAAAGTCATTTGATGGCCTAAAAACCGTCAATGGTTTTATAGCTTCATCTTTCCGAGAGGCAGCTGAAAAGATTGGCCTTTTGGCAGGTGACTTTATTGTAGAAGAATCATTGAATGATGGTGTCTTGTTTTAGATGCCATCAGGTCTGCGCAGGCTATTTGCAATGCTTTTAGTGTTTTGTGATGTTTCAGATCCACTTGCTTATGGATGACCACTTGCTTATGGATGAAATACAAGGCGCTCATGTCTGAAGATTTCGTGAACAGTGGATTGCACTCGGCAGAGCAGACAGAGTTAATGGCATTTTAGATGGTCGCAAATATTTTGCATGACATGGGCAAGACAATAGAAGATTACAACTTGGTTGATATGTTGAAGCGCAGTGATGTACCTGGCCTTATTACAAGCGAAATTGCTCATGAACAGGACTTGCAAGTTGATGCAGCTGACTTGTTGGCTATTGACAAACTCAATGTCTGCCAACGCGTTGCGTTTCAAACAATTTTGGATGCAGTCATTGCAGGCAAAGGAGCAGTTTTCTTTGTCGATGGCCCAGGTGGAACTGGGAAGACTTTTTTGTACCGGTGCTTATTGGCTGCTGTACGGTCCAGGAAATGGATTGCTCTTGCAACAGCAACTTCCGGTATAGCTGCCTCAATCTTGCCAGGTGGCCGAACTGCACACTCTCGATTTAAACTCCTTGTCGATGGTGTAGATAAATATGTATGCAACATAGGTAAACAAACATCAATGGTTAGACAGTTTCGTTGTAGTAAACTCATTCTTTGGGATGAAGCATCGATGGCACACAGGAACATTGTTGAGAGCCTTGATACAAAACTCAGAGACATTATGGATTGCAATGATTTATTTGGAGGGAAGTTGTTGTTTTTGGTGGAGATTTTAGGCAAATGTTTCCAATTGTGCGGCTTGGAAAAAAAAAAGGATTTCATTGGCGCGTCATTGGTTCGGTCAACTTCTATATGCCCACATATTTCTCGATTGACCTTGGTAGAGAATATGCGTGGGCAATCAGACCATACGTTTGCACAATACTTGATGAGGGTTGGCAATGGAACAGAGCCGACTGTTCAGCAGAACAAAATTATAGTTCTCCCAAAATTTCTGGACCAACTTTATCAGGCTGTATACCCAGATGTACGTTGTTTTCTGTCCGACCCGTTTCTGTTAATGGGGAGGGAAATTTTTACGCCAAAAAATGAATTTGTTGATGAAGTCAATATGCTGTTGCTAGGAAAATTCCCGAGTGAAACAAAATGTTACATTAGCTATGACGAACCGCTTGAAACAAAGTATATGCATTGTCAAAACTATTTGCATACATTGTCTCCTATTGGATTACCTCCTCATATTTTAAACTTGAAAAAAAAAAATGTCCAGTGATCTTGTTGAGGAATCTCAATCCATGTGAAGGGTTATGCAATGGTACAAGACTTATATGTGATGTCTTTGGAGATCATACTATGAGCTACATTATTGCACTAAGAGAATTCAAAGGTAAACATGTATTGATACCAAGGATACCACTTCAACCATCGAAGGATGAACAGTATCCCATTCCGTTCAAAAGAACTCAATTTCCAATTAAACTTTGTTTTGCGATGACAATCCATAAGGCGTAAGGCCAGACTCTTGATTTTGTTGGCATTTACTTGAAGGAGTCGGTATTTAGTCACTGCCAATTATATGTAGCCATGTCTCGTGCAAGAACTAGGTCGTCTTTGAAGATGGTAATATGTGATAATTCAGCTGGATTGCAATTGCAAAATGTTACAGAAAATGTTGTGTATCAAGAAATAATCAAATACATTCTTTGAGTATTTATTTGCATACACGGAATGCGTTTGACATGCGTTACTGTAGCTGCAACCTAATATTTTACGGTATGTATTCTTTTTGATTATGTTCGCTTTGTTGTTCGTTTATATGTTTGTTCTGTGTGGTGGTAACTAATTGCGTTCATCGTCGCACTATTTCTGCTTTGCTTAGGTTTGCTTATTCTTCAATGCATACACAGCTTCTACCGCATGTTAATTATCATAAGCTCTGTGTTATAACAAATTCCTTGCCTAGGTTTTTCCCGAGCAATTGTTTGTTTACTTTGATTTTCATTGTTTATTACAACCGCCGTATTCTTATTACATGCCATGGCTTATTTGCAGTTTTCACTACAGGTTTCTTTCTTCATCTTCGACGAGTATACTTGCAGTATGTCTATTAGATATATATTCATTGACTTACCGCTATATATATTCATTGACTTACCGCTATGCTAAATTCAATTGCACGTCTAAACATGTGAAATGCAACTCAACGTATGCAATTTTAATTCACCACCAAAATTTACACATTACAGAGATATCCATTTAAGTCTTATAACTTCTTTTTACCTTTGCGTTTGCGTTTGCTTATAGCAGTGGATTAACTTGATGATTCAGATGAATTCTATGTACTCCAAGGCAATTTGACATGACGGAATATGACTGCATCCGGTGCTGCTTGTCTTTCTAGTTCGTCATCGGAAGATAAAACGATTGGGTCTTCCGGTAAGTCGTCTACTTCAACCCTTCCTTTTGATCGAATTCTATGCAAATGTTTTTTCTCCGCTTCCTCTTCGCGTCGTGCCAATTTCGCTATCGTTTCTCGGAAATAATTGTTAATTTCTTTCAGGTTTGGTTTAGGAGACCGGTTTATGCGGTCCATGTTATCGAAAGGTAAGCGGCAAATAATTTGACAGCATCTTTACTTACCCTTTTAATGCTGACAATCGTTTTCTTTTTATGGACGATTGTGAATAGACAGCGCGCAGAACTTACGCGTTCATGATGATTAAGAATCTTGTCTTTTTTATTCCCTTTGTCAGGATCTTCTAATCACTGATACTGAAAGGGCGTTGCAGTTATCCAGACGATTAGATTACTGATTCGTCGGGCACGATTTTCTATATCCATGTTCGCGCTTTAAATATTATCACAAAACGTATCTTAAATGATACGCAGTAAATGATTATCGTAAATGTAAACGGAAGAAGGAAAACAAAAAAACAAACTTAATCGGTTGTTCTAGCGGCATACATGAACCCTTCCGGTTAATGGCCTCTGTTTTCACAATATGGTCATTGTTACTTCATCTTCTATTTCGACATGTTGGTGTGCTGCTGTTAACCGGACAGATATACTTCCAAATAAATTTACCGCAATGTGAACAAACAGTTGTAAACCCCCCAAAAAAACCTGTGCGGACACGTTTGTCATACTTTAATCGTTTCAGTGTCATGGGATATAAGAATTTGATTTGTTATGGTCAAAATAAAGGCCTTCCGGAAAGGAATAAAATTCTCCGACGAGGTATACGGGTTGCACAGACCGGCTTTGTTATAGTTACTTCTATAAGTTATGCTGCATTTAGTGTACATGAAGAAAGAGATAAATTATTTGTGTAGAGTGAAAAATAAAGTGTATAATTCTGAACAAATGTCGTCCTTTACAAATTAAATGGACGAATTAAAGACATAAAACACAAAAAAAAAAAGGTCTGAACATAATTTCACTCCGTTTTAAATAGGAACATTAAGCAAACCTTTGTCAAAAAAAAGGGAAAAGTCAAAACAGTCCGAATACATACTGGTTCAGATAACCATTATTCTATCGCAATTGGAAAGTCCTGACGATGTAAACAGTGGATGGCTTTCTTGTGGACGGGGTGAAAATGCACAACGTCGCACGCGGTGCAATAGTCATTTCTACCATCGATAAGTACACCCTTAGATAGCCTATGTATGTGACGCATTTTTAGACATGTGCCTTTTTTCTTTTCTTTTTTTTCTTTTTTGGGTTTTTTTCGAAGCTGTCAAATTATACTCCGTCGTTTCAAATCTGAACAAACAATGTAAAACTAAACTATTGGGCAATAAAAGAGTTCTAATCAAAGGAAACTACTACATGGACTCTCACTTGTTAGTCCAAATTTAACTACATATCTACTGTAACACCCCTAATTTTTAAAACATTTAAAAGCTTATATAAATAACGCAATCCATCGTTAACATCCAAACAGAGCATAAACTATTCATGAGAGTCGGGGTGCTATGCCACACCTAGTGTAACACCCCGTGTTACGGCCTTCAATCCCGGATTAATTATTTAATTAATCCCGTTAATAATAATTAAATGTGATTTAATTCGGTTAGGTTTCCTTTAATTAATTAATAAGGTCCACCATGAACCGTGGACCCTTGCCTAAATTAGAGTCTTAAGCCTATTAGGAATAAAGAAAGTAAACCCTTTACTATTCAGATTCTAATTAGGAATCCTAGACCTAGTTATCTATTAGGAATAAAGGAAGTAGGCCTTTTACTATTCAGACTACGATTAGGATTCCCTTTAATTAATTAATATGGTCCACTATGGACCATGGACCCTTATCCCTAAACCCAATCCTTAATCCCAAAAGGAATAGAATTAGCAAGCCCATAATATTAGTTCCTAACTAGGACTCCTAAATATATAAATAGGGGACTTAAGAGGCACCTAGAACCCCCACCACAATAACGTTCCACCCTCCCAAAGAGCTCCAAGAATTCCCTTAGAAGAAATCAAGAAAGCAAGAAAGCTTAAAGAAAGACCCTTCATAGCCAAGGAATTAATTAAGGCTAAGAGGTAACCCATGTCTCAACAAAACCTATTTTCATAGCTATGATTCCCCTCTTAGGATTTCCCCATATTATTGTGTATTGATGATTTGTGATATTATTATTGATGATTGGCGAGGTGATTCCATGGGTGATCTTGATGATGGAAGGTTCTTGATAATTATGGTGTTCTTGATGATTATATGACGTTCTTGATGATTATATGATGTTCTTGATGATTGTAGGATGTTCTTGATGTTTATGTGATATTCTTACCGAATCTTGATATTAGAAGATGAATTGTGTCCTTGTTGATTTAAAAGTGATTAGAACCCTAGGTTGTATCGTATGGAATATTTCTTGGTATATTGGGTGGGAATTTGCATGATTGGGTGTTTATTATGTTTAGAAAAACATGATAGGTTATGTGCCATATGTTTCTCGATCTTTGATCCGTTAATTGTCTACGTGTGTTGTCAATTGCATTTGAAAGTGTCTACGCATGGTTTCGGGTTCCACAAAGGTTCCCGGGGCGTTTTTGTGATGAAAGAGTCAGTGGGGGGTAGGGGACCCACCACCTACCCGCGGCCTTCTTGGGCAACGCCGGCAGCGGGGAGCCGGCGGGCGGGCAGCTGCCCGAAGGTTGCTACCGCCGGCGGGTGATCCCTCACCCACCGGCTACCTGCTGGTTTGGACCCCAATTTGGGATTTCGGCTTCCCTGTTTGATGTTCCCCCGACCCCCGTGGTGTCCCAACGGACTCCGTCTGTTGTGCCTATGTCTAGTTTGATTTTCGGGTACCGTTCGTAGGTCGTATGAGTCTTATATATTGCATGCTAGTTGAATTGGTATCCCGTTGACCTAGGTGAAAGAAGCATGAACCCCTTAGGACTATTCTTAGTATGTGAAGGATCACGCATAGGTTTTGTTATACGTTTTCTCCCCTTCCCAATGTGTTAATGTGGGTTGCATGTGCTTGCTATATGTTATGTGTGCATGCTACCCCGACTTGGTTGAGATCAATCGGGCTATACGGGCAGTCGGGTGGGCTGAGAACCATACCGGCTGTTAACCAGGCTGGTAGAGACCGGTCAGGTATATAAATATTATATAGGACTAAGATCCACTATACGGGCAGTTGAATGGGTTGAGAACCATACCGGCTGTTAACCAGGCTGGTAGAGACCGGTCAGGTATATAAATATTATATAGGACTAAGATCCACTATACGGGCAGTTGAATGGGTTGAGAACCATCCCAACTGTTAACCAGGTTGGTAGAGAACGGTCAGGTATATAAATATTATATAGAGCTGCGGCTCATCGGTCGGTTGCGATCGACCCCTCCGTGCTTTGAGACGGGGCAGGGTGCTGCGGGGCCATGTCAGAGCTATATGCGCTGACCCTCATGTATGGGCATGCGATTGGTCCTGTGGCGCCAACAAAGTGTGCTATGCGATGAAGTATGGATGAGTTGTTGTTATGAGTATCTTGGGGATGAGACTATGAGATTTGTACCGGGGATCGTATATGTTGGGTTATGATTATTAATTGTGCTTATCTTATCTGTCTTGCCTGTTGTAAACTGTATATGCTTGGTATAACTGCTGTCTGTGCTTAGCCCTATTTGTTGAGTCTATCACTGTTTCAAAAGCTAGAGTTCGTAGGAGATATTTTCATGTTCAAAATGACTTTTCGTATATCTATATATATATCTATATGTATTGTATCTCAACGCGTTGGAGTGGGTTACCAGCATCTCTCGCTGAACAGAAATATTTGGCTTTCAGGCACAGAAGAATAAGTCACTGGAGCACGCTATAACTTGGAGCGTAGAAGTAGATAGTTTCCCTTTCGGCCTGCATGCCATGCTTATGCATTTACGTTATTGAGGATATTAGTTAGTTAGCCTGTGCACCTGAGTTCTCTAGCTCAGGTGTGGCATAGCACCCCGTACTCTTGTATTATGCTTTGGGATTTAATGAGATTTCACCTTTATCTTACAAGTTTTAAATGTCTCGAAAATCTGGGGTGTTACAGTTGGTATTAGAGCCTAAGTTTGACCCTAGGATAAGACTCTTAAGACCGGACTTTAGGACATTAGTCTTGAACTCTAAGTACTTAGGAATATAGGATTCAGGAATCTTAGGACGCGCGGTGAGATTGTGAAACCTACACGTAACCTCCCTTCACCTAATCCCTCTCTAAACTTAAAATAACTTCCCCCTACGCTTACCACACAGAGGTAAGGGTGCAGCACACTAACTCATCAATTCAATAAATATTGACCCTGAAAACCAGCAGCATGGCGCCAACAAGAAGACAGTCAAGGATCCCACATTCCTCGAAGAATGAACCCGAACCTTCAACAAAGTCCTCGGGATTAGTGGAATACCCAGAGGAACGCCGCGTAGGGATAGCCTCATTTCACCTCAAGACACGAGGTTGATCTTTGATAAATCCACGAAGAACCCACTTATGGGCAACAACCAGGGGTTCAACTAGGAGTGCCTAGGGGCACAGCTACGGGGACGATTCCACCCCGCACCTGTAAGGGCAACCATGTACGAGGAAAACAAGGGATGACCACCATCAGGGAATACCACAAACGATCCCTCCAACTGGCTCGTTTCGCGCCTGAATTAGATCCTACAAAGACAACCAAGATAAAGAAGTCTGTGACAGACCACAACTACGAAACCCAGAAGGCCCTAATTGTAAGCAAACCCCGTACACCCAACGAAGCCTACACCAGTAAAGCCAACTTCTACCAAACGGGAATTTAGGGACAAACCCGAAAGAAGGAGTAACGGAAGTGGGAGACCGCTCCCTCTAGCATGAGCGAACCCTTCCGGAACTGGTTAAGAATGGGCGCAACTATCCCAGCCCGGAGACTGGGAACGCCAATTAAATGCAAGAAAGAAAAGTAGTACATAAACAACGTCTTTTCTCAATCGTTAGCACGAATTATCGAAAAGAACTCGATATGACAAGAAGAGGCAACAGACGCAAGGAAAGTATCATACAACTAGGGCCTCCCGGTAATAAGGGTCTTACCTGGGAACAAGGACCTTGATGGTTTTATGACACCGTAAGAAGTACATGTAACACACAAAATCGACAAAACAGCATGCGACGTCAAAGGCAGTCAATCAATGCATTCCAAGGAAGAGAAATGCATCACCAAGCACTTGGTCACCAAAGGACTGAACAAAAAACGAGCGACAAGCCGAACTCCAAGAAAAACCAAGAAGGCTTATCATTAATCAAGCAAGGCAAAGACAAAGTTGGCTTA